TATATATATATATAGGCCTATATTTAAAAAAATTAATGTACTTTTTAAAATTCTTTATAATTTTATATTATATAGTATGTAATGCAATGTGTACTGTACTATACTGCACATATATATAGAGTGTCATCATTTAATATTCCAACAAATTATACATCTGTCGTTATAAATAAACAATGAACACGTCATGCATATAAAAGTGTAATTATAGTTGTATACAAATTGTTTAAAAAATGAAAATTTTGAATGATTTTTTTACATTTTTATATTGTAATTTAGGACGTAGAGAATTAATACTTTATTATTTAGTTTGTCTTCCATTACAGCCTTTAATCTCTTCGAAATCACAACCAGTTTTGCGGTATACTTATGGCAAATTTCTATTCTATTCTGTGATATGTGCGGTTTTTTTAGGTCAGTTGTATTCCTGCTGTCGTTATATTCTTCATTTAAGCGCATAAATTTACCACAAATATCTTTTATACGAAGATATTTTTGATAAATTTATGCCATGAACTTAAACTAAGGATACTATTCTGCAGTTACGTGCTATACTTATATACATTTAGTATGTAAGTACGGTATGTATATACACTAAATATATATAAACACGGCAACTATATATTTAAATTTATATATACAAAGTCGGATTGCTAAGTAGGAACGGTGAAATACATGCTTAGAAGCACGGAGCACCCGTACATTGGTGCATTTGGGGCACATGTCTCCCCTTTATCGTCGGGTTGCCCTTATACAGTCGACCCCCCTATAAGATCATTGATTTTTCCGTTTTATCTGAATTACATGTTGTACGAGTCACTTAGATTTTACAAATACGTGAGCCATTCACACGTATTTGTAAAATCTAAGTGACTCGTACAACATGGAATTCATATAAAATGGAATAATCAACAGTGTTATAGGGAGGGGTCGACTGTATTTATATATTAAGAAACAAAACAAGAAAAAATTAGCATTTTGAAGTTATAATTATCATCACGTTTTGTTTATCTTATCATAAGTTTAAATTTATATATTACACAACAATTGCATGAACACTAAAATCAAAAAAAAAGAAGGAAACAAAAACCTATTGATAAGGATGTGGAGCAAATTAACAATTATGAATATATAATAAGGTAAATTGAATTTTTAATTAGTTTAAAACTAAAATATCAATTCATAAACAAATTACACAATTCAAAAACTTTTCTTTGATTGTATAAAAGTTACATTTTTAAGATAAAAATCTTGAGTATCAATTGTAAATCTATTTTAAAAATGTTCACAAAAATCTAGAAAATTTAATAAAGTTTTAAATTAAATTGTATATGAAAAAATATATATAATTTAAACTAATTTTATATATTAATTAATAAACTGTCTAATATAATATTTATTAGTAACATAAATTTTTGTTAACATTAACAACAATCAATATATTACTAAGATATATTGAAAGCCATTAAGATTTAAAACATTCTTATGAATACAAATCTGATTTTATGATTAAGAAAATAAAAATAATTACAGAAAATTATGCTGTATAATTCAATTTTTGATTTTAGTCTATCATTTATAAAATATTTTTTAAAATAATAATGAAAAAATAACTGTAAATGAGAGCAAAAAAATTACCATAATTGACATATAAAACAGAATTATTCTTAATAATTATTGCTTTTAAAACATGTTGTGAGATAATAGAAGATTTTTTAAACTAAAATTATATTAATATTTAATTAATTAATTAATTAATTAACTTCCTAAATGTTTCACAATAGATAAATAATGATATTTAAAATTTCAAAACTTTCACTCTTCATAGAAACAGCAATTGATAATAAGTTTTTTTTCTTTTTAAATTTGATCTTAAATATTTAATTCTAAAGGTTAATTATGATAATTTTTTAAACATATTTAAATAACACTTTCAACTTTTTTTATCAAAGTAAATTAGTTTTATAAACAGTTTAATCACACCAAACTAAACACTAATATATATATATACTGTATAATAAGAAATAATAAAATATAAGGAAATAAAATAGTTTTAATTACCATCAACGGGTTTAAAACTGGAACTCGATTTATTTTTCCAGGTTTCTAATATGGGTGATAGGGAACGATTTATGAGCAACTGGTCGAGTTCGTCGGAAGGTGTCCTTCCCATTGCTTTATCTTGTTCTTGGGCTCTTCTCAGCGCAACTTGAAGGGCTACACATTTATATTAATTACATATTATGTCTTTTATAGCTATACTATAATGTAACTATTAAAAATAATAATAATAAAAACATACCCATAACACGCTGTCGTTGAACTATCAAAGTGCATTTTGGGCACCTGTACAAAAATGATTTGGACTGTAGTGTTTATACATATATATTATATATAACAAGAGAGACAGAGAGAGATAGATAGAGATTGAGACAATACACAAAACACACACATACACACATGCACACACGCACACACCTGCAAAAACGATTTGGGCAGTAGCGTTTATGACCCTTGATTGCAATATCGGCATTGTGGTTCCTGCATCTCGCACATTTCGGATGTCGCTTGTTATTGCTGTTTTCACTCGTCGTCGATGGTACTTGCTGTTTATTACCATTCGGATTAACCATGCTGCTTTCGTTATTTTCCCGATTATCCACACCGACCGGATCCAATTGAATTTCGCTATCGTCCATAGTTAAATGTAGGTTAATAGTTCGTATATTTATAAATTATATTATATATAATATATATATATATATTTGTTTTTTTTTTTCCTAAAGAAATAAAATAGTTACTCGTCTAAGGATCTGTCAACACGTTGGACATTTGCTTTCGATCCCATTTGTAACACAGAACTGAAGTCATGCTCTGGCGTTTACTTCACTTAATCGCGCCGATTCTCACGTGACATATTTCGTCTGGCGATTGTAGCGATCCTAGTGTTTTGTCTCCTTATTATGTCTGTCTCATTACGTTTTCGTGAAATCGTTACCAGATGGCGTGACGCGATTATACCATTTAAAGGTACTTTCGCCATGTCTGGTATTTAATTTCTACTAATTAAAAAATAAATAAATAAATAAATGTCGCGTTATAATTCAAAAAATAATTATCTCTTGTCTGGTTTTTATTTTAAACTAGAATTTATAAATAATAATAATAAACAAACTTTTATTTGTTTAAATAGATAAATATTTTAACAATTTAATAAATAAACTTATTTTATAATAATTAAAAAGAAAAAAAAGAAATTAAATTTATTTATATAATTAAATTAAATTTATTTTAA